TAACTTTCACGTAGGGCAATTATATGTTAATTACATTACATCTTGTCGACTTGCTATGTTTCATAATCAAAATCCAACTATCCTTGAAATTAGTTTTAACCAAGAATTTATTACGTTTTCATGTTTCATAAAATTTCGTTTCTCCATATTCGTCCACTTTGGCTGTCTTTTCAAAGGTGTCTATTTTTAAAACGTACGCTTAAGAATTTGACCATTTATTGCTTTACTAACCTGCTTACTGTTATTAATACAGTAGAAATTATGAATGCTGGATTTTCTGGTTTCTTATACTTTACGCTTAATCATAAATCAAACTAGAGAATGGACTCGAGCCAACTCATAGCTTGAAAAACATAGTCTTGACTCGAGTTAATTCGAGTTAAGACTATGTTTTTTAAGCTACGAGTTGACTCGAGTCCAGTCTCTAGATCAGACTTAACTAACTTTTTATGCATTCTTACATACTGTATGTCTTGTTTATTATGTGTCTATCCTTAAAACCTATTTACGTACAGTGTCATGATGGTTAGATCCAGATTAAATTTATTTCACAATTTTATATGACTATATGATTTTGCGTAAATTTCATTAGGAAAATTAAATCAATTCATATAAGAAGTTAATGAGAAGCGAATATACTATTTTGAATACATACATTACTAAATGATCGTTATACTCATAAAATCAAATAAGAAGCAATCCGCTGATTAAATATATGAAGTAATTAATGAGGTGTAAATAGTGATATGGGCCGACCCGTAACTTCGTGGGCTGGGGCCGATTAAGGTAAAATAATTTTTTTTTTTTTTAGCAAAAATTTGCAATAACAATAGTAGTAGTATTATGCTGTATAAAACTACAAATGTGTCATAAATAGAGTATTAAAATATTATTATTTTTGATTTATTGGCATCTACAATGGCTAATAGATAAATAAACTTATTGTATATAAGCAAAATTCTAATTTTTTACAATTTTTTTAATGATTAAAAATTCTTAATTTTCAAATTGTTTATTTTAACTTGTTAGACTTGCATAGATTCATAATTTTACAAATTACAACTCACTCTCGTTATAGTGAATATTCGATATAATAAAGAATTTTTGAATTCCGGAATTATTAAACTTCAAAATTGATACGTATAGTGAAGTACATATAGTATTCTCTCTATGATTTTTTTCTCAGCCCGGGGACTTAATTATAACAAAAGTAAGTGTATACCCACCTGCTTGCCTTTCTATCTTTGCTTCCGCATTTTCCTAAGTTGGCAAACTATTATAATATACATATTGTACCGGTTGGCAATACATAATAAATACATAACGTAGCTCCAACCAATACTTGAAATTTTGAATGGTACAAAGCTTCTAATGGGCATGGTAATTCTTCAATAACGAGCTAATAATAGTGTGGACTTAATGAAAGAAGATCGCCATGACTATACTACTTTATGATAAAAATGAGATTCTTAAAATATATACTTCGCGCTAAACATTTTGATTAATACGTATGAAAGAGCCTACTTTCTGGAACCTACTATATTGATTGGAGGCATTACATTATAGTGTTAGCCTTGTATCAATATTGCACTTTTCATACTATTTAACAATCATGACATTAATTTAGTTAGACAATCAATACACCAAAAATGAAAAGGTTATAAAACCAATTCATTATAGATTACGTGCATGACTTATCTGTTATATATAACATTTAATCCTGTGATTTTATTGCCTGAAATTGTAAAATAGTCGGCCCGGAGTGAAGGGCAAGATCGACCCCTAAATTCTATTTTTATCTTGTAGTTCTAATTTTAAGGTTAAAGGTGGTACAAATTCCTGGTATTCGTGGAATTCTTGGGATTCGAAGAATGATGGGAATTATGCGAATTCATAAAATAGTTAGAATAGCAAGAATAGCAAGAATAGCTAGAATTCCTAGAACACTGTTATGTGTAACTGTCGTATCTAAAGTTACTATCTATCTGAAGTTGCAACATTAGATATAAGTTGCACCTACCAGAATATATGTATGAAAATCTAATTTCAGGGGCTTAATTTTAGTCGGGTCAACTTTATATATCTAAAGTTGCAACTTCAGATAGATGGTAACTTTAGATACGACAATTATAATGTAAATAGTATTCAACTTACTGTATATGTAATATGAGATTAAGGTTGCAAGTGAACCTGGTAAAAGTTAGTAAATGCTAACAAAATTGATAAAATTAAATATAGAAGCAACAAAAAAACTTATACCGAAACCAGTTTCACCTGCAACTCTATCTGAAAATCCACCCTCCGTTCCTGGTTTTGCGTGATAGCGTCGCGCAGCTACTTATTCAATATACAATATTTTGATATAGTTGACGTTAAACCGTGTCTAGAGCTCCAATTAACATTGAAATAATTCTATTATTAATTTTATTGATCACAATATTCCAATTAAAAATTTTGTCCGTAATATTTAGAATTCTAAAGTTTCTATTTAGTTTATAATCTGTTTAAACATACGATTTAGCTGCTAATAGAAATTGGTTACTTTTTATCTACGTTTTTTCTTTTTTTGATGACAATTTTATTTATTTATTGTGAGGATCAAACATAAGGACGTCATATTTGCTATATATAATTGCATATGAGGTTTTAGTAATATTGGCAAAATTTGGAATCTTATGTTCTCATTTATCAAGATCGGACATTGCAGCAGATTTGTCAAATTAAATATTTTTGGTCCCAAATTTAAGTTTTAGGGACCAAATTTATTATTGATTTTCTAAAGCTGAACCCTCCAAAAAAATTATAATACTCCGATCTATAATAACAATGTGTCTAACCCATTTTCCAACCAGCATTACCCATTTTAAATTTATCATTACATATTAAAATAAATTTTAGCCAAAAAGTGGTTGTATATATTTTGCTATGTATTCATTATTTAAGTCAAAATAATAAGTCTGAGGGACAAAATGGGGATTGACTAAGGTAACACATTAAGTCAAATATTCATATAGATATCGATATATATGAAGTCAATTAAATGACTCGCATGCGGTAGTCAAAATTTTCAAAATTTGGGTATTTTACAAATGCGTCGTAATGACGCTCTATATAAAATTTTTTTGAAAACACAAAGTTTGAAATTAAAAATTATATTCTCTATCTAAATATATATTGCTTCATTCCTAAAATTCAGATATAAAGAATGAACGAACATAAAATATGAGCGAGGTCGAGACTAAATTTTTTTAGTAATTTTCGGAAGGTTCCGATTAATTTAATCACTATAAAATCGGATGAGCCAATATATAAGAAATTGTTACAATAGATAGCTTGGGTATTTAGTGGTTACTGGTATTCATAGTTTACGAATGTACATATAATAAATTTATGCAGTATCTAAGTAAAATTTGCTGTTAAGAAAACTATTAAGTAACAAGCTTGATATTCTTTTATAATCATATGGGAGGATTATGCTCATTTTGTTATATCTAATATAACCATGTTGCAATAAGATAGTCTAATTGTATTATGTATTGGTATTTAGCTTATTTTTACACATTCCTAAAATAGAAGCAAGTTCAACTCCATTGTTTTGAGCAAGGAAGGCAGCAATAACCCGAGTATCTTTAGCAGTTAATTCGCTTGAAGTTTCATCCAATCAATTTAGATATGACTAAATAGACTGAAATTATATTATTACATCACTTATTTTTATATGAGCATTTTTAAATATCACAAAAGAACACATATGATATAGTGTCACGGACTACCGTGTATTCGTAGACTTTTACTATCAGTCTTTAACTCGCTTGGCTATTAAACGATGACTGGAGTATCGTACCAGATACTACTACCAATACAATATGATCACTAAGATAACAGTTTATTCACTAAGAATAATTCAAAGAGATATCGGGAACTAAAGTTTATTCACTAAGAATATAAGTTTTTGGCATTTCCCCTATTTGGATCTATGCCTTATATATTATTACTGATCGATACATTGTTCATGCAATACTAATCGCTAATGATTACTACATTGTTCATGCAATCACTATTTTAGACTTTTAATTAAATCGTGATCACGCCATTCATGCCACAATATTCGATCAACACGTACCCGGTGACTGGTCACGTGGGTACCGCGACATATAGTCTAGAACTTATTAAGGGAATTTTTATTTTTTATGTATATTGTGAAGCGTCTTAACAATTTAATAAAACCTTGAAAGACTAATATTATATTTTTGACTAAATTACATTCCAAGTTTTCTCTTTCTTTTAGTGTATTTAATTTTGCCTGTTCTCGCAGTTGTCTCTACGTCATTTCCGAAATAATTACACGTACGTAAAAGTAATGCCAATTTTTCATCACCACAGACAAGAGCTTTTTACTTCTATCTCACCAAATCGAGGTTAAAAGAAGTCTGTATACAATGAAATGAATGTAATACAGTGCGGGACAGCATAAACCAGCACCCTTTTATATGTATTCTACAAAAAATGATTAAAAATATAATAAAATTTAAAAACTTTTTTAGCCAATTTGTAACTTTAAGTCTGAGTTACAATTTGGCTAAAAAAGATTTTTATCTTATTTAATTTTAAGAAGTTATATTAATTTAAAGTATACTAAGAGATTGAAAATTTTGCGTTTAATATATAAAAAAAAGTCACGTGTTATTTTTAACCAATCACAATCGATTATACGAAATCAGCCAATAAAAATTGATCACGTATTTTAACATTTGGCTTAGGGTGCTGGTTTATGCTGTCCCGCACTGTATATATCCAATACCCTATCTATTTATCGGAATTTGTTGTCATAATGAACTTATATTTGTATGGAGTATCTTTGCGGAATGTAGATTCCCATTTATAGCAGTTAATTTGTATCACATGATTTTGTGAACCCAAAGGTTCTTTTAAATACTGTACGCACATACTGCAGTAATGATAATACGAGCTCTTTTTTAAAAAAAAAATCGAAAATAAACATGTCACTCAAATATGAAAATGGGCTAAATTTTAAAAAAGAGAACATAATACATGATTATGATAATTTTGATAATTTCGAACCGTTAAATATCGGAGAATCAGACTTATCTTATAAAGCAACATTTAAGAAATATACCGAATATGTTATTCTGAGACCATTAACAATATCTCAACGATTTACTCTAAAAGATTTTATTGAAGAAGTATAAATTCCTAAAATTGATTTGGAAAAAATTTTGCATACTATTTTTAATATTCATTTTTTCATTAAATCTATAGCTTAATAGATACCAAGATGTAAAATTACATAATAATATTTTACGAATTTTTGGATTTACTATACCAGGTACGTAAATAAAAATCGAGGTAGTTTTGAACAATATAAATATTCGTTATATTGATAAACAACCTTAATATTTGTTAGTATATGTACTGTAGTTAAACATTCGATTAAAATTTCTATTTATTTTAATTATTGTAAACCGTTTATTCAAGATCCAAACTCGCTTATGTTGGTTCTTGAATACTTTGATGGAGAAACGCTTCGCCAGTATTTAAGTCGAAACTTCAAATTAATGAAATGGGACAATATATTATCTCTTGCCAAACAGATTGTTAATGCAGTCATGCATTTACACGAATATAATATAATTCATGGAAATTTGGTAAAATTATTATTATTATTATTAATTTTCACCGAGTTTATTATCAATTTTACAAATACTAAGATGTTAATTTTTTCGATTTTAATATTATAGAATTCTGAAAATATTTTTATTTATAAAGGAATTATTAAAATTAATGGTTTTTTATCTCAAGACTTCATGCTTCGAAACCAATTTCCTCATTTGCTTAGATTTGTTCAGTATTTTGATCCTCAATATTTGCAGAATATAGAAACATGTAAATTAGACGAAAGTTCTGATATATATAGTATTGGAGTACTTCTTTGGGAACTTTCTAGTGGAACGGTTCCATTTGAATCAGAATCACCATTTGGTTTCGATTGCATAAATGCTATTATATGTGGGAAAAGGGAAACCGAAGTAATCGGAACTCTTAAAGAATATTCTATGCTATATAAAGGTATTTATTAATAGCAATTTGAAAAAATAATTTAATAAATCTATTTTCTAACTAATTTTCATAAATTTAATTTATAAGATTGTTGGCAGTATTATTCGGATCAGCGCCCAAATATTGAACATGTTGCTTCATGCTTGAATAAAATGTTAATCTTAGCAAATCTATTTCAATTGTTTATAGATCAATTTAACATTACCAGTAGTTCTACACAAATAATTAGTAAATTAAATCAATATTTTGAAGATAATCAAATAAATCCTATTATTTTATTTAACCAACTAGTAGATCAGGATTATAATTCTAGCATGATAGGCTATTTTTACGAGCACGGGATAGGAACTGAAATAGACTATCATAAAGCGTTCAGAATGTATAATCAATCTTCTATGAATAATATTCAAAAAACTATATCAAATTGTTTGGATGATTTGTCATTAACAAATAATTTCATGATCAATAATTACATTATTGGAAAAATATTACTTGGACTATTACATTCAAATGGAAAAGGTGTCGCAATAGATAAGAATATTGCATTTAGAATATTTTTAGAAACAGCCGAAGTTGGATCAGGAATTGGTGAATATTATATTGGATCTTGTTATTTATGTAATGAAATAAAGTCATTTGAATGGTTTTTAATGTCAGCACAAAGAGGAAATTCAATGGGACAATATGCTATTGGGAAATGTTATCAAAATAATCAAGACTATATAAAATCAGTTGAATATTATTCAAAATCTGCGGCAGATGGAAATTCTTATGCTCAATACGAGTTAGCAAAATATTATGAATATGGTATCGGTACGACTAAAAATAAATTTAAAGCTTTTGAATTATATACGGAATCAGTTAAAAATGGAAATATTAATGCCATAAATGAATTAGCAAAATGTTATAGATATGGTAATGGTACAGCTAAAAATGAAAAAGAGGCTTTTAGGTTATATTTAATATCAGCAACCGATGGAAATATTGATGCTCAATATTTATTAGCAAAATTTTATGCGGATGGAATCGGTACAGCTAAAAATGAAGTAAAAGCTTTTGAATGGTATCTAAAATCTGCTAAAAAAGGAAATCTCAAATCTATGTATAAATTAGCAAAATGCTATAAATTTGGTCTAGGCACAATTACAGATGAATTTAAAGCATTTAAATGGTATTTTAAGACTGCCAAAGAAGGAAACAATGAAAGCCAATTTGTTCTTGGAAGCATGTACATGCTTGGTAAAGGTACCTTAAAAAATATAAATCACGCTTTTTATTGGTTTTTAAAATCTGCAAAAGCTGGATATCGCAACAGCCAATTTCAAACAGGCTTAAATTATAAAAATGGAATAGGCGTTGCAAAAAATGTAAACAAAGCTATTTATTGGTTTACATTGGCCAAAGCTAATAGGCATAAATTTGCACACCTTCACATGAATGAATTGGTTAGAGGTAAATTACAAAATCAAAATGCGACATTTGTCACTGTTAATAATATATGGGATAATTGGGTCATGCCACCACCATTATTAACACCACCAGCGCTAGCACCAATGTATATCTTTCCCGACTATCCTATTTATAATTTTCAATTTGGTGCTAATGAACAACCTCAACTTAATGTTATTAATAATGGAAATTTTCCAAATGCTAATGAACAAAATGGAAATTTTCAAATTTTTGTTGATGGAAATTTTCAACATGCCAATGAACAAAATGAAAATTTTCAACTTGGTGCTAATGAACAAAATGGAAATATTCAATTTGGTGCTAATGAACAAAATGTAAATATTCAACCTGGAGCTAATGAACAAAATGAAAATATTCAACATGGTGCTAATGAACAAAATTTATTTTTCACCTATCAATTTGAATAAGACTCAAATATAGAGGAAAAAATAACATTCCAAGTTATGATCGATTTATTTTCCGAAGGACACTACAGACGGAACAATAGTTTGTGTGTTATCGAATTCTATTTTCTAATTTTAATTGGTTGATCAGAAAATAAACAACAAAGGTTCTCAGAAAGCGATGAATAATTCTCAAATTATAATAAATGATACTCTATATATGTAATATGCGAGCAGCCCTATTAGAGTTATAGTTTTATTTGTTATTATTTTTTTATCGATGTTTTTTAGCATGTTTCTATTCTTTTGTATTGTAATGAAATGTGTTATTGAATTTTAAGAACACTAGTTCGATCAAATGAATGTGAAAAAACAAAAAGTGGTTATGATTAATGTTTAATTTTTTAAAGATGCGATCAAAATTCAGTAGCTGCAAATTGTAATCTGCCTTACGCGAAATAATTTATTTTTATACAGCATTTATGACCGTAACATAGTCTATTTTTTTACGATTCTCATTTCCATGTTGAGAACTAAATGGTAAATCTATCACTAAACTTGCAAATATTTCATTATCTACGATCGGGTATTTAAACTTGTTGAGTTGGATATCTTTTAAGGTAACCACAGTTAAACCTTTATAATGGTAACTCATCAAAGTTCTTAAATAAAACGAGGAAATATTGGGTTTATAAAAATTTCTTTAAATAAAAGAAGCTATTCCGTCTTAATTGATGAAACTATTTTTTGCTATAAGGCCACGCAAAGTTGATTTTTCGTTTTGCATTACTCGCCGTCCCATTTTTTCGATTTTTGACATCTATTTTTTTCCCGCTATTTTCATCCGGTATCACCTGATGGAGACCTGATTTCCCGTAATTGTCCGATAGGACTGACAGGAAAAATACGACTGCAGGCCCAATTTTTTAATTCCTTGTTGTGCAAATGAGTGCCGACAAGCGAAAATAGGGAATTGTGAGTTTTCCGAAATTAATTTTACAGATCAAACCCCGAAAAATGTGATTTAACACACCATATAATTTATGTTGTGCTTAATTTAAATTTATCAGGAATCGGATCAGGAATCGGATCAGAAAGCGGAGCCGGCAAAAATCAAAATTCCCTGTTTTCGCTTGTCAGCACTCAAATATAACCTTAAATGTGATCATTATTCTATTTGCAGTAAATTGAATTAAAAAAAAAAAAAAATCCGTCCGTCCGTCCCTAATTTTGAAATCCATGTAATGCAAAACGAAAAATCAACTTTGCGTGGCCTAACGATAAAACTACTGATGAACGGCAAAACTCCTGACGATTGACAAAACTCTTGGCGAAATTAATTTGACCAATAAAATATAAAAATACAGTTATTCCTCTTTCAACGAGCTTAAAGCTTTTCAAATTACTGTCATTTCATAAAGTTTCATTTATCTACATCAGATATGAAAACATAGTAATTTTTTTGATTGACAACGAACCTTACCAAATCATCAGTTCGCTATAAAAAAGTTAACTCCAGAAAAATTAATCTTTAGCTTTAAATCACATTGAATTTGAAGCTGATAATTTTTTTATTCTAAGTAGTTTTCTTCAAGCTTATCGAATACAATTAATGCGAATCAAAATAAAACCTTGGTAGATATGATAATGTACAAAAAAATTAAATATTAATTTTATGACTAATTTAGGCATTAACTAGTTTTCAGTGATTCCTAAAGGAATAATCGCCATAAAATATACGTTTCGTCATGTGTTTTGTCACGTGTCATTTCGTCAATTCGAAGTTGCTTGTTTCATCATTCATCAGACATCATTAATCTTAGCATAATAAACAATAGTAGCTCTTCTTTTCAAGGTAGACGATATACTCTTATACTGTAAAAGATTTTATTGTCAAAAAATTGTATATTCATACTCATAATTTACAGTCGCAGGAATTCTCCTTTTTTAAGGTAAGGTGCTTTTTTTTTGATTTTTGTACGTATGTGTGTGATATGTTGTACTACACTGTTATTTTTAGTCTTAATTCGCTTTGCTCTGAACAAATATCGTGTTTATACTATATATATATATGTACAGGTGAAATAAATTTCTGTGTATATATTTTATATTCTTCTACTATAAACTAGAAATTACACATGTGGGAGACTTCGTCACCAAGTTTCAAATAATAATTAGATTAGCAATAAGGTGAATTACAAATAGAGTTCTGCAATACTAGACATAGGCATTAAGATTAATAGCAGCTGGCATGTGATTAGACACTATTTTTAATAGTCAATGTCAGGCATTTGCAGGACCTTAATCACTAATAATTATTTTTTGTGAAAAATAAGCCAATCGGGCTGGGAGTTCTACGAACAAGGATGGAGACATAATTCACCATTAATGCTTTAAAGGAGTTAATGTTTAAAAGGATAAGCACAAGTTTTTGAACAGCAAAAATATGAATATCCTGGAAAAACATTTAGGTCAGCAAACTTTATTACTTGGTGATCGGAATCAAAAATGGTAAAATAATTTTTTTGGAATCGCTGAGGCTGGCAATCCTAAGATTATAGTTTGTTATCACCCTTTTGATCAAATTTGTAGATCGCTGCACACCAATACAATCATTTAAACTAGAGTGTCCAGACTCATGCGATTACATTTTAGGCACATAAAATGTACAACAAAATTACCTTTCTTGATGTAGCTAGTGCGATATT